AGGAGGCGCTATCTCTTCCACTTCTCCCAGTTGTTCATTTGCCTGGAAATACAAGAAGCTGAGGAGCATGAATGGGGTCATGTTTTCACTATTTCGTTGAGAAGGCTCAATTTGACGAAATCCTGATGTCCTCGCTGAGTTTGCGCAACACTTCAACCGAGTGGTGCAAGATTAGATGAAATGTGCCACATAAACATGGAAGGAGCATTTTGCATCTTCTCAGTCCTTGTCCATTTGAGTGAACGCTTTGCTTGGGGTGTTGGGAAGTCCACTTTTTCGTTAAGAACAAAATGGGCAGAATTTGATCACAATTGAGTATCCACTTCATCAGTCATGCACCATTACTCTTTCATCTCCTTTTTTGATCAAAATCTGCAGCCCGTGCTGCAGAACTTCCATTTACATTTTCTTATCCACCTGAAGTAAACACCACCATTCGCCTACTGCACTCGTATAAAGGCGTGAGTTGTGTGATTACGCATCACCGCCTTCAACTCTCTACTAACTGGATAGAACCCGGATTGATGAATGCATAGCCGGGCGGCATTAAACAGCGAACAAAGCGGCAGGGGTGGAGAGAAAAGACACCGTATCCCTGCAAAACTCTTCCAATGACAACATCAAATACCATCCAAATTCTTTGCAAAAAATGGGGTATTTTTACCTACATAGCTCTATGCCAACACTCTTCGCCTTTTTACATCAATAAATGTAAGCACACCTGACTTGAGTTGTTATTCTGCTCGATGATTTCTGATACATGCCCCTTGCCCTACAAAGCTCATTACTTTTAAGAAATGGGATTCAAGAGGTGCATCCACGCCTGGCTCTGCGCTCCCCGCTGAGATTGAATGACTGACATGTTCTGAGGCGTTGATCACCACTTGTGCGAAACTGGCGTGACGAAATGGCCTTTGACTACCAACGTAGTGCAGCGCATTCTTTCTGCGGCAAACGGCGTACCTGATCAAAAGCAAACTTAATTACGACTAACTGCCGTCCCGATTGTGGCTGCAAGTCGGTGCACCTATGCCTCGCAGTAGGAAGAAATCTACTGCGATCAGGGTCAGGGTAGTAGCAGTACTGCGTGCGTTCCATTTTCCCGCATTTG